AGCAGCCTCGCACCGAGGACCTATCCACGTCATCATTTACCCAGAATGCTTTGCGTGTAAATAAAATGGCTCAGTCCGTGTTAAAATATATTTTTAGAAATTGAAAAAAACTAAACATCCTACAGTATTTTTACATTTATTTTACAGTTAAAATATATGTTTATCAAATAAAGTCTAATGTTACAACTAATCGTGGATCCCTTTAAGTTCAAAGTCCCTCAAAGTCTTTGTATTTTATGTAACGTGATCCTAAATAAACTCATTTTCTGCCCCTCAGACCAGAGTCCTAATTTCAGAGACCTCCTGGCTGTCGTGTGTCTGTCTCATCGAGCCGAACTCACCGTCCGACTGGACGTCTGTCGAAAGGTCGGTCTCCTCACCTCGATGGAGCTTTTCTGCAACATTTCATCACACTTAGSAAAAAGTAGCATACTTGAAGTTCATTTTAATAAGTATACTTGAGTATAAGTTTAAGTATATCAAGTATACTATGCACCATGTTCTTGTAGTATACTTGAAAGTAGACTGATTTAATACTCATTCGTACTAAATTGGGACATTTTAAGTATATACTTTACTGCTATAATGTTAGTATAGTTTAAGTACTTGTCATTAAGTATACTTAATCTATACAAGTGTATGTCCCGAAGTGTACTTTTATTTACCATGTACAATGATGTAAGTATACTAGCAGTTTACTAACAGGTATATTTCTAGGACGGGGCTCTGCAACCTGCGGCTCTGGGGCCACGTGAGGCTCTTTGGTCCCTCTGCAGTGGCTCTTTGAAAATGTGGTCAAACATAACAGAATATTTTTTTCTGTTTGTTTTTTATACCCACAACAGAAATCAGTCTGTATGCAAATGTATGCTCAATACTGCATATACAAAAAGTAAAACCTGTAGATTAGCTCATGCTAGCCACTTGTTTACTTAGATAATTCAACTTATTTCCATGATCTTTCTTTCAAATCCATCAGAATTAGCTTTTAAAGATTTTGAAGACTACATAATATTAAGAATTAGAAAATAGTTCAGTTGTACTAACTTTTATGAAATTCAATCTAAACTAAATAAAGTATTTTTCTTGTTTACATGAAAATAGTCTTTTCATTTGTACTAATGTGTAAAAATAATAATTAATATTAAAATTCACAGAATATATTTTTTTAGTTTATAATATCACCTCCACTGGCCGTAAAGGTTCCCGAAAAGGCCTCAAAAAGGCCCGCGGACCACCAGTTGATAATCACAGTTGTAGTGGCTCTTTTGATTGTAAAGGTTGCAGACCCCTGTTCTAGGACTAAGTTGGCCCACAACAAGTTTATGAAAGTATGCTCAGAAGTATACTGAAAGTAATCGTCTATGTATACTTTAAGTTTAATCTTGAAATATACTACAAATAAACCAGTCTGTGTGAAAAGTGTACTGCTAAAGTTTTTCTTGGCCAAAACTTTAAACATTACTATAAACTAAGTATTCTTAATTTTTAGTATACTTTTAGTACAAGCCAAGTATAGTTTAAGATAAACTTGGTTAAGTATATCTCAGATAAGTACATAAAAAAATAAACTGGAAGTATACTCTTTTATTTTAAGTTTAAAATTAGTATACTTAAAGGATACTTGCATGTGTTTTTCTCCCGGACTCCCTCCAGCTCTTTCATCTGATCCACGCCAACGATGACTACGTCAAGCAGCTCGCCAAGCAGCCGGGCTGGCAGGACATTCTGACCAAACTCTACGTGAAGGAGTTCTACGAGTCCCACGAGTCCCACGCCGCCGGCATCTCGGAGTCCGGCAGCCAGGGCTCCTTCATGCAGAACTTCCGGCCRCAGCTGCGCCGCGACCCGTCCGTCACCGAGGACACCCGCGCCGGCATCTTCATGAACTACCGCAACTCCCAGGACATCGAGGACGAGGAGGACGAGTGCGGCCAGCGGGACGTCTCGGAGGGGTTCTCGGATCTGTCCCAGTCGCCCCCCAGCGGGGGCGGGGCCACGCTGAAGGACTTCACCGGCTCCATTCACTTCAAGTCCTTCGACTCTGTGGACCAGGGCAGCCACTCGTCTTCGGCCTCCAACGCCGTTGACATTGCTTCGCCGCAGACAGAAGACGAGGGGCGGGACTACCATCCGCTGTCCCCCTTCGGCACGTCGCCCTTTGATATAGAGCTGGGGTGCACGGGGTACACCGAGCCTCACACCCCTGTGGGGAGTCTGGGCAACACACCATCCCCGCTAGAGCACTCGAAAGCCTTCCCTCCTCTCAGGCCGAGGAAGAGCTCCAGCTTGTCCAACGTGCTGGACGATGCCAGCTACGGGACAGACCCTCCTACTGGAGACACCATTTCCAACACGTCCAACCCTCAGGTACATCTCTATGGGATAAATTTTGTGCCAGCAGGAATTGAATTTGAATTAATTTGCTTTGAAACTGTATTTTGGTTTATTAAAAATTCAATTTGACTACTTTCAATTTCAGTTCCAAAAATTCAGGTTTTTGTGTCACACATCCTGGTCCTTGAGAAAGCCAGGCAGAGTAATCAAACACAGATCCACAGATTTATGTTTCACTTTGGTGAAGTTTCCCTTCTGTATGTAACAGAGTTGATGCAATCCACTGTAAGTGACAAAAACAAAGTTATTTTATTGCAGTGATTAATTTTAACTATATCTAGAAAATGTTACATTTACATCACATCATGGATCACATATTGATTAGATGCTGCTGCTGACTGATCCATGATGTGATGTAAATGTAACATTTTCTACCTATAGTTGAAATTAATCACTGCAATAAAATAACTTTGTTTTTGTCACTTTTACAGTGGATTACATCAACTCTGTTACATACAGAAGGGAAACTTCACCAAAGTGAAACATAAATCTGTGGATCTGTGTTTGATTACTCTGCCTGGCTTTCTCAAGGACCAGGATGTGTGACACAAAAATTTGAATTATGGAACTGAAAGTGAAAGTAGTCAGTTTCAAAGCAAATTAATTCAGATACTAAACTTTTAAATTTAGTTTCAAATCATTAAATTCAGTTTCAATTTAGTAAAATTTATTTTCAAACCAATGCATTCAGTTTCAAATTATGCAGATTCAGATTCAATCAGAGCAATTCAAATTCAATTCCTGCTGGCACAAGATTTATCCCATACTATGGAAGATAGATCAATGAAGATAAATCAAGATTTATTCCATATGTCTCCTTCAAACCCAAACCTCTTGAGGTCAGATTGAAAATCAGACATGATGATCTTGTCTCTTCAGCTGAGTCTGTTTGCACTCCAGCAGACCCCCGAGGAGGAGCTGTGCAACCTGCTGACCAACATCGTCTTCTGTGTGCTGTGGAGCGGGGCCGAGGGGCCGGAGGACGTGGTGTGGAGGGAGAGGGGGCAGGTGTTTTCTGTCCTCACCAAGCTGGGCTCGTCCTGCCAGCTGGTTCGTCCTCCCGAYGAAATAAAACGCAGGTTTGTTTGTTTCTTTAATGAACTGCGAGCAGCTAATCACCTGCGTGTTGCCTGACGACCTGTCGGTTTGTAACGGCAGTCTGCTGGAGATGATGCTGGAGTCCTCCCTGTCAGACCTGCGGGACGCACAGGGAGTGACTCTGCCCTTCTGTCCCAGTCTGGTTCGGCTCCTCAGACTGCTGCAGGACTTCCTGTTTGCTGAGGGAACGGACAACCGCACATTGTGGAGCGAAAAGGTAAAAATCACCTGTTTTTTTAGCAAGTTCTCTCTCCATCTTGATAATGGTTTGTGTAAGAGACCTAAAAGGATTTCATGTTTTATAAGTTTATAATATCATTTTATTATTAAAGGGATCCCTGATTAGTTGTTACATTAGACTTTATTTAATAAACTTATATTTTAACCGTAAAATAAAGACTAAAAATACTGTAGGATGTTCAGTTTTTATAATTTTTAAACTAAAAGTTTAAAAATATATTACAAGGACGGGGACATTTTATTTACACACAAAGCATTCTGGGTAAATGATGACGTGGATAGGTCCTCGGTGCGAGGCTGCTAGCGAG